TTCATGTGCCCCTTGAACCTTCATGTGCCCCTTTAACCTGCATGTGCCCCTTTAACCTTCATGTGCCCCTTGAACCTGCATGTGCCCCTTGAACCTTCATGTGCCCCTTGAACCTGCATGTGCCCCTTTAACCTGCATGTGCCCCTTTAACCTGCATGTGCCCATTTAACCTGCATGTGCCCCTTTAACCTGCATGTGCCCCTTTAACCTGCATGTGCCCCTTTAACCTGCATGTGCCCCTTTAACTTCCATGTGCCCCTTTAACCTGCATGTGCCACTTCAACCTGCATGTGCCCCTTTAACCTGCATGTGCCCCTTTAACCTGCATGTGTCCCTTTAACTTGAATGTGCCCCTTTAACCTGCATGTGTCCCTTTAACCTTCATATGCCCCTTTTACCTGCATGTGCCCCTTTAACCTTCATGTGCCCCTTTAACCACCATATGCCCCTTGAACCTTCATGTGTCCTTTTAACCTGCATGTGCCACTTCAACCTGCATGTGCCCCTTTAACCTGCATGTGCCCCTTTAACCTGCATGTGTCCCTTTAACTTGCATGTGCCCCTTTAACCTGCATGTGCCCCTTTAACCTGCATGTGCCCCTTTAACCTGCATGTGCCCCTTGAACCTTCATGTGCCCCTTTAACCTGCATGTGCCCCTTGAACCTTCATGTGTCCTTTTAACCTGCATGTGCCACTTCAACCTGCATGTGCCCCTTTAACGTGCATGTGCCCCTTTAACCTCTGCATGTGCTCCTTTAACCTGCATGTGCCCTTTTAACCTGCATGTGCCCCTTTAACCTGCATGTGCCCCTTTAACCTGCATGTGCCCCTTGAACCTTCATGTGCCTCTTGAACCTTCATGTGCCCCTTTAACCTGCATGTGCCCCTTTAACCTTCATGTGCCCCTTGAACCTGCATGTGCCCCTTGAACCTTCATGTGCCCCTTGAACCTGCATGTGCCCCTTTAACCTGCATGTGCCCCTTTAACCTGCATGTGCCCATTTAACCTGCATGTGCCCATTTAACCTGCATGTGCCCCTTTAACCTGCATGTGCCCCTTTAACCTGCATGTGCCCCTTTAACTTCCATGTGCCCCTTTAACCTGCATGTGCCACTTCAACCTGCATGTGCCCTTTAACCTGCATGTGCCCCTTTAACTTCCATGTGCCCCTTTAACCTGCATGTGCCACTTCAACCTGCATGTGCCCCTTTAACCTGCATGTGTCCCTTTAACCTGCAAGTGCAACTTGAACCTGCATGTGCCCCTTGAACCTGCATGTGCCCCTTTAACCACCATATGCCCCTTTAACCTTCATATGCCCCTTTAACTTCCATGTGCCCCTTTAACCTGCATGTGCCACTTCAACCTGCATGTGCCCCTTTAACGTGCATGTGCCCCTTTAAACTGCATGTGCCCTTTTGACCTGCATGTGCCCCTTTAACCTGCATGTGCCCCTTTAACTTCCATGTGCCCCTTTAACCTGCATGTGCCACTTCAACCTGCATGTGCCCCTTTAACCTGCATGTGCCCCTTTAACCTGCATGTGCCCCTTGAACCTGCATGTGCCCCTTTAACCACCATATGCCCCTTTAACCACCATATGCCCCTTTAACCTTCATATGCCCCTTTAACTTCCATGTGCCCCTTTAACCTGCATGTGCCACTTCAACCTGCATGTGCCACTTCAACCTGCATGTGCCCCTTTAACGTGCATGTGCCCCTTTAACCTCTGCATGTGCCCCTTTAAACCTGCATGTGCCCTTTTAACCTGCATGTGCCCCTTTAACCTGCATGTGCCCCTTTAACGTGCATGTGCCCCTTTAACCTGCACGTGCCCCTTTAACCTTCATGTGCCCCTTGAACCTGCATGTGCCCCTTTAACCTTTAACCTGCATGTGTCCCTTTAACCTGCATGTGCCCCTTTAACCTTCATGTGCCCCTTTAACTTCCATGTGCCCCTTTAACCTGCATGTGCCACTTCAACCTGCATGTGCCCCTTTAACCTGCATGTGCCCCTTTAACCTCTGCATGTGCCCTTTTAACCTTCATGTGCCCTTTTAACCTGCATGTGCCCCTTTAACCTGCATTTGCTCATTTAACCTGCATGTGCCCCTTTAACCTGCATGTGCCCCTTGAACCTTCATGTGCCCCTTTAAACTGCATGTGCCCTTTTAACATGCATGTGCCCCTTTAACCTGCATGTGCCCCTTTAACTTCCATGTGCCCCTTTAACCTGCATGTGCCACTTCAACCTGCATGTGCCCCTTGAACCTTCATGTGCCCCTTTAACCTGCATGTGCCCCTTTAACCTGCATGTGCCCCTTTAACCTCTGCATGTGCCCTTTTAACCTTCATGTGCCCTTTTAACCTGCATGTGCCCCTTTAACCTGCATGTGCCCCTTTAACCTGCATGTGCCCCTTTAACCTGCATGTGCCCCTTGAACCTTCATGTGCCCCTTTAACCTGCATGTGCCCCTTTAACCTTTAACCTGCATGTGTCCCTTTAACCTGCATGTGCCCCTTTAACCTTCATGTGCCCCTTGAACCTGCATGTGCCCCTTTAACCTGCATGTGCCCCTTGAACCTTCATGTGCCCCTTTAACCTGCATGTGCCCCTTGCATGTGCCCCTTTAACCTGCATGTGCCCCTTTAACCTGCATGTGCCCCTTTAACCTGCATGTGCCCCTTGAACCTTCATGTGCCCCTTTAACCTGCATGTGCCCCTTGAACCTTCATGTGTCCTTTTAACCTGCATGTGCCACTTCAACCTGCATGTGCCCCTTTAACGTGCATGTGCCCCTTTAACCTCTGCATGTGCTCCTTTAACCTGCATGTGCCCTTTTAACCTGCATGTGCCCCTTTAACCTGCATGTGCCCCTTTAACCTGCATGTGCCCCTTGAACCTTCATGTGCCCCTTTAACCTTCATGTGCCCCTTTAACCTGCATGTGCCCCTTTAACCTTCATGTGCCCCTTGAACCTGCATGTGCCCCTTGAACCTTCATGTGCCCCTTGAACCTGCATGTGCCCCTTTAACCTGCATGTGCCCCTTTAACCTGCATGTGCCCATTTAACCTGCATGTGCCCCTTTAACCTGCATGTGCCCCTTTAACCTGCATGTGCCCCTTTAACCTGCATGTGCCCCTTTAACTTCCATGTGCCCCTTTAACCTGCATGTGCCACTTCAACCTGCATGTGCCCCTTTAACCTGCATGTGCCCCTTTAACCTGCATGTGTCCCTTTAACTTGAATGTGCCCCTTTAACCTGCATGTGTCCCTTTAACCTTCATATGCCCCTTTTACCTGCATGTGCCCCTTTAACCTTCATGTGCCCCTTTAACCACCATATGCCCCTTTAACGTGCATGTGCCCTTTTAACCTTCATATGCCCCTTTAACCTGCATGTGCCCCTTTAACCTGCATGTGCCCCTTTAACTTCCATGTGCCCCTTTAACCTGCATGTGCCACTTCAACCTGCATGTGCCCCTTTAACGTGCATGTGCCCCTTTAACCTCTGCATGTGCTCCTTTAACCTGCATGTGCCCTTTTAACCTGCATGTGCCCCTTTAACCTGCATGTGCCCCTTTAACCTGCATGTGCCCCTTGAACCTTCATGTGCCCCTTTAACCTTTAACCTGCATGTGTCCCTTTAACCTGCATGTGCCCCTTTAACCTTCATGTGCCCCTTGAACCTGCATGTGCCCCTTGAACCTTCATGTACCCCTTTAACCTGCATGTGCCCCTTTAACCTGCATGTGCCCCTTTAACCTGCATGTGCCCCTTTAACCTGCATGTGCCCCTTGAACCTTCATGTGCCCCTTTAACCTGCATGTGCCCCTTTAACCTGCATGTGCCCCTTTAACCTGCATGTGCCCCTTTAACCTGCATGTGCCCCTTTAACCTGCATGTGCCCCTTTAACCTGCATGTGCCCCTTTAACCTGCATGTGCCCCTTTAACTAGTACGCAGCTTCATGGCCCTGATCTCGAGTGATGTACATACAGTCTGATGAGAGCAAGCGATCAAACCTCGCACCTGTCATTGAGTGAAACCTTACTTGGAAGTTGTTACTGTGAGTATGTGTACATGTCTCCCGTGTATCTGATGGTTAGTAATTCCCCTACACGGAATTATGCTTGTGAACTCGTTTGAAAGATATATTGGACATATTAAGGTTACTTTAACACTCCACTTATAATTACAACAGCCGTAAATAGAAAACGACAGTGTTCGACATTTCAATCTTTTTCATCTGCAAATGTTCTCATCATTCACCATTCTTTTATAGCTAACGAATATTGGGGGTGTAATGAAAGAGTATTTGAGAGTTGTCAATTACTCACAAGACAAACAAAAGTTATAGGTGCCCAATGTGGAAGTGATCCTATGGCTATTGTCCTTGCTTCAGAAGACACTATCGTAACTCTAGATCAGGGAAGTTAGGTGCATGCATTTTAGTCGTATCGTGCCATTAGGTATCTGTGTATGTATCTGAATGTCGCAATGAACAGTATTCTAGTCATATTACTACGTGTCATCTTAATGTGGGAGGAAAGCCCGAAGTTATACAGACGTTTATCACTTCGGTGAAACCCACGAGCACGGGGACAGTGCTGACAGACCTAGAGACAGAACCTGGGCCTTTGACGTCTGGGCTACGAATGCCCTCATAACACAATGACTTCAGGTGAATATACGAATGTCAGGCCGCCTTTTTACTTCCATTTATTGCAGAATGCTTTACTAAAAGTAATTGGGAAGGTAGGAGAAATTAAGATAAACACGTATTTTAAATGATCAGATTCCTCAACAGCATTGCCTGCCGAGTGAACGAAAAAATGAAATGAAAGAAAATGTGTTTGAGAAAGGGTTATAAAGGATAAGTTCTCTTTTACCATTGACCTACTTTGAAAGTAGACTTTTCTCCAAATGGAATCATTATTCCACATTCCAAGTTTTGTTCCTCGGATGCGTAAACCATTTTATAAAAACTAAACAAATATGGTATCATAAATATATTGCACGTTATAGTACATTTTTAAGAACAAAATATACACGTATGAGTATGTATAAAAAAGGATATTTAAGTTAAAACAAATGTCGTGTCAGTTTCACTAAATACTAACAGCATGTACAAGATAAATATTGACTAATTAATAAAAGTTACAATGTGTTGATGTGGGGGCCCATCTGTCGACATTTTCCACAATTAACCTACTGCGGTGCCCTAAAGAGTTGAGGACTACCTGTAGAAGCCGGACAATGGAAACGGAGCAGACGACTTACGTGATGTTTAAATTTGCTCAGATTACGATATTTTCCGAGCGAGATGCCTCGTTTAAGTCAACATTAGTTCAATAAGTTCAATCGATTTTCTTTGCAGTTCCGTACGTCTCGGGGTCTTTGTTAATTTCGGAGCGCGTGGTAGGTTCGGAGGCTTTGTTGTTTCTGCTAAAATTCCAATCTACTGGGTTGAACATTTGTTCCGTCAGCGTTCCGTTCGTCTCGGGGTCTTTGTTAATTTCGGAGCGCGTGGTAGGTTCGGAGGCTTTGTTGTTTCTGCTAAAATTCCAATCTACTGGGTTGAACATTTGTTCCGTCTTCTTGTATGTCCAGTAGGGCGTCATGACCAGCGTGACGAGAGGTAGCTGTATATAAAGACACAAGAACACTGACAGGGGCATGCTAGACCAGATGTGAGTCCAGTTCTGGTACGATATATACACTAACAGCCATTCCACGATGTTCCTGCAGTGAAAGGTATGGACCAGCAGAAACTGATTGGCCTTCCACAGGAACGTGCGCTCCCTCCCGCTCTTCAACAACGTCCAACAGAGGGCCGAGAAAGGGGTGCTCATTTCCAACAGAAGTCCCTTGGTGGCGAAACAGTGCCCCGCGTCCACGCAGAGGACCACGAAATACCCAGTCAGCGACAACCAGTGATGGAGGTTGAGCAGGAGGCTGAAGGAATTGAAGATGACATCTGAAACAGCGAGCGCAGAACACTCGAAAATGAAGAATCCTTCAGTTACACACAGCGCGAAATAGCTGGTCTGCGTTGTTCCGAATACAACGTCGTTATCCATTGCAGATTTGTTGAAGATGGCCCAAAGTCCAATGATGGCGCCAAAGACTCCGAACACGGCTCTGACGACAGCCAAATTCCAGAATACCTTTTCTTTTATACGTAGCGATTTGTACGTCGAGGTGAAGGACGCAACTATTGCGGACGTCACGTACGTTCCGAAGAAGAAGAAGAAGCTGCCGGCGACGAGACCTAGTTTTGTACAGGTGAGCTGGTAGTTGAGCTGAAGCAGGCTGGGATGCAGATACCGGACTATTTCCCAGGTGGGGCCGTGGGCCGCTGGTGTCTCCGCCATGTCTCTGCAACAATCAATGTGATGGTAAAGCATCTTCAATGGACAGACTACGCATATATTCTGTACAAAAATAGTTAGGGATCATGAATATCTTTGGGGATATTTTATGATATTATGTGCCCAGTCTTCACTAGATAAAATATCTCATACAACATTCATCATCCCTAGCTTGTGTTGTTCAGTATATGTCAAATTTGATGTTTCCAATCAGTCTGCTAACCTTATTTGCGAAGATACGGATTGCATGGTATATAATAACAAAACAGTTCCAGTTAAAGACAAATATGCGTCCTGATGTAAAGCACCGTGTGAACTTAATGAGTGAGTTTGGCTTAACGCCACTGTGGACAGTACTTGAGTTGTCTGAGGCTCCGCCAGTCGCTGTGTGCAAGCTAGAAACACATGATCGTAGGTTCGATTCCTCAATAATGTTGCGAATAGTTTTGGTAAAAAACCGTATGTATGCTGTGTAAAATTGTAATGGATTTACGGAGAGTGGGAACATTGGTTTTTACGTTTATATTTTGTTTAAGCTTTGCCTCATACCCCTCGAGTGCGGATCAGAAAAAAACAGTGATTGATATTAGGAGTAACGCCTCACGCCGACGGAGTATGATGACACTGTGAATGAGTTACTTTGTGACGTCACATTGTCATTGTTTCAGTCGTACATCGACAGATGCGACATCTAGCAAGTCACGGGTCTGACTGACACCTGTTTAAACAGGCACTCACGTGGGGATTCTGGGACTAAATTCGTCACCAAGACCATCAGTTATGCTGAGTCAACTACAACGGGGTGATCTGGACCGAGACAATTAAACTGCCCCCAACTCGAACATCTGGGAAGGTAGTGGGTTGTTCTTTTCTATTTCGATGGTGAACTGTAGTCGGGGGTGTTGTTGGTTTAGATGTTGTAGTAGCAGGGTTGGGTCTTGGTCTTGTTTTAGGATGACGAAGGTGTCGTCGACTTTTCTATACCAGCAAATAGGTTGGATGGGTGATGTGGTGGCTAACCCAACCCAACCCAACCCAACCCAACCCATCACTGGTTTGTGTGGCCGAGACTCGACTATGTTCAACCCACGTCATACAGCTCGATCATTGCTCATATCACTGACTGGTTTGTGTGGCCGAGACTCGACTATATACAACCAACGTCATACAGCTCGATCATTGCTCTTATCACTGACTGGTTTGTGTGGCCGAGACTCGACTATGTTCACCCCATGTCATACAGCTCGATCATTGCTCCTATCACTGACTGGTTTGTGTGGCCGAGACTCGCCTATATACAACCAGCGTCATACAGCTCGATCATTGCTGAGTGCGGCATTAACCAACAAAAACAACACTGACCAGTAATTGTGCCGTTTATGGATTAATAGAGAAATATGTCCGTCTGCCTCACGCCATGTGAATTGTTCTCGTGCTGTTCTTGTGATGGCACGTGTTCTGTTCTAATATAATGATAACCCAGTAGTTGAGATATCTCTTTTATCTTATCGTGTCCCCGCACGCTGAGTGGTATGTCACCAGGTTCGTTGATCATCATCAACACCCCCACACATCCTATTTAGATCTGAACGTTCCGAGCAATTAGAAAACGTGAAAGATCAAAGAAAAATAATTGAATTACTTCAATCTCCCTTAACAATTCCCCTTAATGATTGATACGGGGGGATACACTCAGCATGCTCACTCGTTGTGGACCAATCAATATCTCGCATGTTTTCAGAAACATGCAGATGGAAGCACGTCGTGGTGGATGTATATTGCTGACTGCGGTCTTCGACTAAATGCATTCACTATTTCCCGGGCTGGACTACATCCCCTGCAACCTTTGCTAGTTGTAAGAAGCGTACCAATCACTGGTTTGTGTGAACCAAATAAATTACATTTATAATCCGATATGGAACGAAAATGTTGAAACAAAAACTTCCTCCCTTTTACACACAAAACAACATTGAAACGGAAAAGAGTCTGAAACATACTACACAGGCTCAAGTCTGTACACAACATGCAGCTGTAAGGATAACAATACTACACAGGCTCAAGTCTGAACACAACATGCAGCTGTAAGGATAACAATACTACACAGGCTCAAGTCTGAACACAACATGCAGCTGTAAGGATAACAATACTACACAGGCTCAAGTCTGTACACAACATGCAGCTGTAAGGATAACAATACTACACAGGCTCAAGTCTGTACACAACATGCAGCTGTAAGGATAACAATACTACACAGGCTCAAGTCTGAACACAACATGCAGCTGTAAGGATAACAATACTACACAGGCTCAAGTCTGAACACAACATGCAGCTTTAAGGATAACAATACTACACAGGCTCAAGTCTGTACACAACATGCAGCTGTAAGGATAACAATACTACACAGGCTCAAGTCTGTACACAACATGCAGCTGTAAGGATAACAATACTACACAGGCTCAAGTCTGTACACAACATGCAGCTGTAAGGATAACAATACTACACAGGCTCAAGTCTGAACACAACATGCAGCTGTAAGGATAACAATACTACACAGGCTCAAGTCTGAACACAACATGCAGCTGTAAGGATAACAATACTACACAGGCTCAAGTCTGAACACAACATGCAGCTGTAAGGATAACAATACTACACAGGCTCAAGTCTGAACACAACATGCAGCTGTAAGGATAACAATACTACACAGGCTCAAGTCTGTACACAACATGCAGCTTTAAGGATAACAATACTACACAGGCTCAAGTCTGTACACAACATGCAGCTGTAAGGATAACAATACTACACAGGCTCAAGTCTGTACACAACATGCAGCTGTAAGGATAACAATACTACACAGGCTCAAGTCTGTACACAACATGCAGCTGTAAGGATAACAATACTACACAGGCTCAAGTCTGAACACAACATGCAGCTGTAAGGATAACAATACTACACAGGCTCAAGTCTGAACACAACATGCAGCTTTAAGGATAACAATACTACACAGGCTCAAGTCTGTACACAACATGCAGCTGTAAGGATAACAATACTACACAGGCTCAAGTCTGTACACAACATGCAGCTGTAAGGATAACAATACTACACAGGCTCAAGTCTGAACACAACATGCAGCTGTAAGGATAACAATACTACACAGGCTCAAGTCTGAACACAACATGCAGCTGTAAGGATAACAATACTACACAGGCTCAAGTCTGAACACAACATGCAGCTGTAAGGATAACAATACTACACAGGCTCAAGTCTGAACACAACATGCAGCTGTAAGGATAACAATACTACACAGGCTCAAGTCTGAACACAACATGCAGCTGTAAGGATAACAATACTACACAGGCTCAAGTCTGTACACAACATGCAGCTGTAAGGATAACAATACTACACAGGCTCAAGTCTGTACACAACATGCAGCTGTAAGGATAACAATACTACACAGGCTCAAGTCTGAACACAACATGCAGCTGTAAGGATAACAATACTACACAGGCTCAAGTCTGAACACAACATGCAGCTTTAAGGATAACAATACTACACAGGCTCAAGTCTGAACACAACATGCAGCTTTAAGGATAACAATACTACACAGGCTCAAGTCTGTACACAACATGCAGCTGTAAGGATAACAATACTACACAGGCTCAAGTCTGTACACAACATGCAGCTGTAAGGATAACAATACTACACAGGCTCAAGTCTGAACACAACATGCAGCTGTAAGGATAACAATACTACACAGGCTCAAGTCTGAACACAACATGCAGCTTTAAGGATAACAATACTACACAGGCTCAAGTCTGAACACAACATGCAGCTGTAAGGATAACAATACTACACAGGCTCAAGTCTGAACACAACATGCAGCTGTAAGGATAACAATACTACACAGGCTCAAGTCTGTACACAACATGCAGCTTTAAGGATAACAATACTACACAGGTTCAAGTCTGTACACAACATGCAGCTGTAAGGATAACAATACTACACAGGCTCAAGTCTGTACACAACATGCAGCTTTAAGGATAACAATACTACACAGGCTCAAGTCTGTACACAACATACAGCTGTAAGGATAACAATACTACACAGGCTCAAGTCTGTACACAACATGCAGCTGTAAGGATAACAATACTACACAGGCTCAAGTCTGTACACAACATACAGCTGTAAGGATAACAATACTACACAGGCTCAAGTCTGAACACAACATGCAGCTGTAAGGATAACAATACTACACAGGCTCAAGTCTGAACACAACATGCAGCTTTAAGGATAACAATACTACACAGGCTCAAGTCTGTACACAACATGCAGCTGTAAGGATAACAATACTACACAGGCTCAAGTCTGTACACAACATGCAGCTGTAAGGATAACAATACTACACAGGCTCAAGTCTGTACACAACATGCAGCTGTAAGGATAACAATACTACACAGGCTCAAGTCTGTACACAACATACAGCTGTAAGGATAACAATACTACACAGGCTCAAGTCTGTACACAACATGCAGCTTTAAGGATAACAATACTACACAGGCTCAAGTCTGTACACAACATGCAGCTGTAAGGATAACAATACTACACAGGCTCAAGTCTGTACACAACATGCAGCTGTAAGGATAACAATACTACACAGGCTCAAGTCTGTACACAACATGCAGCTGTAAGGATAACAATACTACACAGGCTCAAGTCTGTACACAACATACAGCTGTAAGGATAACAATACTACACAGGCTCAAGTCTGAACACAACATGCAGCTTTAAGGATAACAATACTACACAGGCTCAAGTCTGTACACAACATGCAGCTGTAAGGATAACAATACTACACAGGCTCAAGTCTGTACACAACATGCAGCTGTAAGGATAACAATACTACACAGGCTCAAGTCTGTACACAACATGCAGCTGTAAGGATAACAATACTACACAGGCTCAAGTCTGTACACAACATACAGCTGTAAGGATAACAATACTACACAGGCTCAAGTCTGTACACAACATGCAGCTTTAAGGATAACAACCGGGGTTATTGCATTCAGCGACGTTGGTTGTCGTCACTCCAGCTTGTTGGGAAGGGAATCTACATCGAAACGTCGCTATATGCAATGAACCAGAAGTTGTTATCCATAAAGTTGTACGTTTTTTATTTACCCACCAACTTCTAGAATACCGATGAGTCACTTATCAAGTCAGTAGAGTCACTATAGACTTATTCATTTAACAGTCACGTGACGGAGAAAGCAAATAGGTGCATTTGTTAGTAATAGATAGTATGTCCGTTTAGAACAAGCTCACGAACATGAAACGTGATGAACTTTGACAGGATAATCTTGAATGTAACATATTTGCTTAAAACATGCATGGCATTCGTCAGTGGGCAGAAATTCTGCCACAAGCTGCTTGAATGTTTCATTTAGATATCCACAATGCTGGCAGGTGCTTTAGTGCTTTCACTGAGGATGGATGTTAGACTTACGTGATGTGGAGAACCTTTGTTGATGGTGTGTTATTACTCCCTGACCCCGATAACCAGCTACTCCGATGATGATGCGGCGGCTTATATCAACGTACAATGTGACCCCACGTGACAACACGCTGTACAAGGTACAGCAAACACACAGATAACCACGCATCAGACCCTGTGTCCGTGTCCACACCGTGACAGCTGTAGGAGGCGTGTGATGTCAGCAACAATAACCATGCACATGACACTACCTTATTGAGTTTGTTATATTCACGGCAATAACTCCATTGTTGCGAAGGTAATTAAATTCGGTATTGTTCTTTACGTAGTACGACTCATTTCAGATGTTCCGTCTGTGTTTTTTGTTTTTAGATGCCCTTCAAGCCAGCTGCTCAGAATCAATTCCCAAACATGTCCACCACGAACCATGAGAGCACAGTTTGTTCAAGGTGTTCAAATCACCATAATAAACAATCTGTAAATGGCAATAACCCCATTTCCTATATATTTTTCAAAACATAGTAAATAAAGTAACTGAAAATATTTTTCGTAGGCGGCAACATCTTAAAGTTGACCTCGATATGTCTTTCGTCCATTCATCTGATTCTCTCAAACGGCGCTCAATGCAACAAAAGCATCATTTCCCCACAAACCGCTGGACCAAAGAAGCTGAGACTTCCAATGATACAGACATCCCCATTGGTCCAGATGTTCACATTATCTATTCAGCAGGGCCAATATGCAGCTACTTCTGTTCTGTGTTCAGCAGGGCCAATACGCGGCCACATCTGTTCTGTGTTCAGTAGGGCCAATACGCAGCCACGTCTGTTCTGTGTTCAGTAGATCCAATACGCGGCCACGTCTGTTCTGTGTTCAGTAGGGCCAATACGCAGCCACTTCTGTTCTGTGTTCAGTAGGGCCAATACGCAGCCACGTCTGTTCTGTGTTCAGTAGGGCCAATACGCAGCCACGTCTGTTCTGTGTTCAGTAGATCCAATACGCAGCCACTTTTGTTCTGTGTTCAGTAGATCCAATGCGCAGCCACTTCTGTTCTGTGTTCAGTAGATCAAATACGCAGCCACTTCTGTTCTATGTTCAGCAGGGCCAATACGCAGCCACGTCTGTTCTGTGTTCAGCAGGGCCAATACGCAGCCACTTCTGTTCTATGTTCAGTAGATCCAATACGCAGCCACGTCAGTTCTGTGTTCAGTAGATCCAATACGCAGCCACTTCTGTTCTGTGTTCAGCAGGGTCAATACGCAGGCACTTCTGTTCTGAGTTCAGTAGATCCAATACGCAGCCACTTCTGTTCTGTGTTCAGTAGATCCAATACGCAGCCACGTCTGTTCTGTGTTCAGTAGATCCAATACGCAGCCACGTCTGTTCTGTGTTCAGTAGATCCAATACGCAGCCACTTCTGTTCTGTGTTCAGTAGATCCAATACGCAGCCACTTCTGTTCTGTGTTCAGTAGATCCAATACGCAGCCACGTCTGTTCTGTGTTCAGTAGATCCAATACGCAGCCACTTCTGTTCTATGTTCAGTAGATCGAATACGCAGCCACGTCTGTTCTGTGTTCAGTAGATCCAATACGCAGCCACTTCTGTTCTGTGTTCAGTAGATCCAATACGCAGCCACTTCTGTTCTGTGTTCAGCAGGGCCAATACGCAGCCACTTCTGTTCTATGTTCAGTAGATCCAATACGCAGCCACGTCTGTTCTGTGTTCAGTAGGGCCAATACGCAGCCACGTCTGTTCTGTGTTCAGCAGGGCCAATACGCAGCCACTTTTGTTCTGTGTTCAGTAGATCCAATACGCAGCCGCGTCTGTTCTGTGTTCAGTAGATCCAATTCGCAGCCACTTCTGTTCTGTGTTCAGAAGATCCAATACGCAGCCACTTCTGTTCTGTGTTCAGTAGATCCAATACGCAGCCACTTCTGCTCCGTGTTCGGCAGGGCCAATACGCAGCCACTTCTGTTCTATGTTCAGTAGATCCAATACGCAGCCACGTCTGTTCTGTGTTCAGTAGATCCAATACGCAGCCACTTCTGTTCTGTGTTCAGTAGATCCAATACGCAGCCACTTCTGTTCTGTGTTCAGTAGATCCAATACGCAGCCACTTCTGTTCTATGTTCAGTAGATCGAATACGCAGCCACGTCTGTTCTGTGTTCAGTAGATCCAATACGCAGCCACTTCTGTTCTGTGTTCAGTAGATCCAATACGCAGCCACTTCTGTTCTGTGTTCAGCAGGGCCAATACGCAGCCACTTCTGTTCTGTGTTCAGTAGATCCAATACGCAGCCACGTCTGTTCTGTGTTCAGTAGGGCCAATACGCAGCCACTTCTGTTCTGTGTTCAGTAGGGCCAATACGCAGCCACTTTTGTTCTGTGTTCAGTAGATCCAATACGCAGCCGCGTCTGTTCTGTATTCAGTAGATCCAATTCGCAGCCACTTCTGTTCTGTGTTCAGAAGATCCAATACGCAGCCACTTCTGTTCTGTGTTCAGTAGATCCAATACGCAGCCACTTCTGTTCTGTGTTCGGCAGGGCCAATACGCAGCCACTTCTGTTCTATGTTCAGTAGATCCAATACGCAGCCACGTCTGTTCTGTGTTCAGTAGGGCCAATATGCAGCCACGTCTGTTCTGTGTTCAGTAGGGCCAATACGCAGCCACGTCTGTTCTGTGTTCAGTAGATCCAATACGCAGCCGCGTCTGTTCTGTGTTCAGTAGATCCAATTCGCAGCCACTTCTGTTCTGTGTTCAGAAGATCCAATACGCAGCCACTTCTGTTCTGTGTTCAGAAGATCCAATTCGCAGCCACTTCTGTTCTGTGTTCAGTAGATCCAATACGCAGCCACTTCTGTTCTATGTTCAGCAGGGCCAATACGCAGCCACTTCTGTTCTGTGTTCAGTAGATCCAATACGCAGCCACGTCTGTTCTGTGTTCAGTAGATCCAATACGCAGCCACTTCTGTTCTGTGTTCAGTAGATCCAATACGCAGCCACTTCTGTTCTGTGTTCAGCAGGGCCAATACGCAGCCACTTCTGTTCTATGTTCAGTAGATCCAATACGCAGCCACGTCTGTTCTGTGTTCAGTAGATCCAATACGCAGCCACGTCTGTTCTATGTTCAGTAGATCCAATACGCAGCCACGTCTGTTCTGTGTTCAGTAGATCCAATATACAGCCACTTCTGTTCTATGTTCAGTAGATCGAATACGCAGCCACTTCTGTTCTGTGTTCAGTAGATCCAATACGCAGCCACTTCTGTTCTGTGTTCAGTAGATCCAATACGCAGCCACTTCTGTTCTGTGTTCAGCAGGGCCAATACACAGCCACTTCTGTTCTATGTTCAGTAGATCCAATACGCAGCCACGTCTGTTCTGTGTTCAGTAGGGCCAATACGCAGCCACGTCTGTTCTGTGTTCAGTAGGGCCAATACGCAGCCACGTCTGTTCTGTGTTCAGTAGATCCAATACGCAGCCGCGTCTGTTCTGTGTTCAGTAGATCCAATTCGCAGCCACTTCTGTTCTGTGTTCAGAAGATCCAATACGCAGCCACTTCTGTTCTGTGTTCAGAAGATCCAATTCGCAGCCACTTCTGTTCTGTGTTCAGTAGATCCAATACGCAGCCACGTCTGTTCCGTGTTCAGTAGGGCCAATTCGCAGCCACTTCTGTTCTGTGTTCAGTAGGGCCAATACGCAGCCACTTCTGTTCTGTGTTCAGTAGGGCCAATTCGCAGCCACGTCTGTTCTGTGTTCAGTAGATCCAATACGCAGCCACTTCTGTTCTGTGTTCAGTAGATCCAATACGCAGCCACTTCTGTTCTGTGTTCAGTAGATCCAATACGCAGCAACTTCTGTTCTATGTTCAGTAGATCCAATACGCAGCCACTTCTGTTCTGTGTTCAGTAGATCCAATACGCAGCCACTTCTGTTCTATGTTCAGTAGGGCCAATACGCAGCTACGTCTGTTCTGTGTTCAGTAGATCCAATACACAGCCACGTCTGTTCTGTGTTCAGTAGGGTCAATACGCAGCTACTTCTGTTCTGTGTTCAGCAGGGCTAATACGCAGCCACTTCTGTTCTGTGTTCAGTAGATCCAATACGCAGCCACGTCTGTTCTGTGTTCAGAAGGGTCAATACGCAGCCACTTCTGTTCTGTGTTCAGCAGGGCCAATACGCAGCCACTTCTGTTCTTTGTTCAGTAGGGCCAATACGCAGCCACTTCTGTTCTGTGTTCAGTAGATCCAATACGCAGCCACTTCTGTTCTGTGTTCAGTAGATCCAATACGCAGCCACTTCTGTTCTTTGTTCAGCAGGGCCAATACGCAGCCACTTCTGTTCTGTGTTCAGTAGATCCAATACGCAGCCACTTCTGTTCTGTGTTCGGCAGGGCCAATACGCAGCCACTTCTGTTCTGTGTTCAGTAGATCCAATACGCAGCCACTTCTGTTCTGTGTTCAGTAGATCCAATACGCAGCCACTTCTGTTCTTTGTTCAGCAGGGCCAATACGCAGCCACTTCTGTTCTGTGTTCAGTAGATCCAATACGCAGCCACGTCTGTTCTGTGTTCAGAAGGGTCAATACGCAGCCACTTCTGTTCTGTGTTCAGCAGGGCCAATACGCAGCCACTTCTGTTCTGTGTTCAGTAGATCCAATACGCAGCCACGTCTGTTCTGTGTTCAGTAGGGTCAATACGTAGCCACTTCTGTTCTATGTTCAGTAGGGTCAATACGCAGCCACTTCTGTCCTTTGTTGAGTATATTTTAACCATGCTTTTAACTTCACCTAAATTGCGTAATTATCTGAGTGCAGTTCTTCTCCTCTGACATGGCATGACATGAGAGTATTATACCCGCTGACAGCACGCCTTGTTGCGTGGCTCTCTTTGTGGACATGTGAAACTGTTGTCTGTATTTGCAGGAGAGCTACATGTCAATGCCTTGACACTATTGTTTGTTTTTAAGATTTAAATTGGTTCTGTTTCATTATACTAAGTACTTAAAGTCAAACATTGCCGACTTTGTTTAGAAAATTATTTTATTGTCTCTCAATACAAGTTTGAATTGTAGCATGGTTGTGCTGTCGTCCCCGCATGACTACCAGTAATTAGTTATCAATGCCG